TCCTCTTATTCCGTAATGGACGATATTGACATTATCTTTTAGGGCTTAATGCGTCAATATCAATCAATCTCTTTCAGAAACTTGTTATTACTCATTTAAACCATTTAACCAGTTTAGTTCTAGTAAATGGTTGGGTTACCATTCCTAGTGATTTTTAAATATAAGGTTTCAGCCCCATTTCACTTGATGTCATCTTTACTACCTCTCTTGCTAGAGGTTTTGTAGATGGATCAGCCAAATTTTTATTTGTCTTAACATAGACAATAGTTATGACACTATCTTGTATCAAGTGTCTCACATATTCATGTCTTAGACTTATGTGTCTAGACTTACCATTATATGTACAATTATAAGCCCTTGACAAAGTGGCTTGACTATCACAATAGATAGAGATAGGAGGCATTGGACTAGGCCATAACTTAATATCTAGTAATAAGTTCCTAATCCATTCAGCCTCTTTACCAGTTGCTGCTAAAGCAATGAATTCAGATTCCATGGTGGAGTGTGAGATACATGTTTGTTTCTTGCTTGCCCAAGAAACTGCTCCTCCACCAAGTGTAAAAGCCATTCCAGAAGTGGATTGGTTGTCTCCAACACTAGTCATCCAGCTTGCATCGGTGTATCCTTCTAATACAGCCGGATAATCATTATAGAACAAACACAAATTTTTGGTTTTCTTTAAATATCCAAAAATCCTGGAAATGCTTTTCCAATGTTCTACACTTGGATTACTAGTGTATCTACTTAATTTGCATATAGCAAATGAAATATCAGGTCTAGTACAATGCACGGCATACATTAAAGAACCAATTGCACTAGCATATTCAAGCTGTGCTACAGCTCTACCAGAATTGGCAGTCAATTTGACACTGGGATCAAAAGGAGTGTTAACTTCTTTAAAACCAAGATGATTAAATTTATTCACTATTTTTTCAATATAATGTGATTGGCTTAAAGAAAAACCCCCACTATGTTTTCTAACTTTGATCCCTAAAATAGTATCCGCTTCTCCTAAATCTTTCATTTTAAACATAGAAGATAGATACTCTTTAGTCTCATTTATGCCAATCATATTAGTGCCGAATATTAACATGTCATCCACATACAAGCAGACAAGCACACCATATTTATCAGTGAATTTAGAATAAATACACTTATCAGCACTATTATGTTTGAAACCATATGACAAAATAACAGAATCAAACTTTTCATGCTATTGTTTTGGTGCTTGTTTAAGACCATAAAGAGATTTAATTAGTTTACATACTTTTCTTTCATTTCCTG